CTGGGCTGAAGTCGGATGCTCAACCGACTGAGCCACCCAGGCGCTCCGCAAGTTTCACTTTGATGGTTCCAAGTTTGAATCTTTGCCAACTCAAGCCACACTCCCTGAAACAGAGAGTGTCCCGCAAGGCGGGACAAAGGGCAGACAGTGAGATAGTGGCAGTATGGCTGGGGCCAAGGTCACTGAAAGTGAAAAGGTCGGTGTCGGTCTTTGGCCAGTTCCACTCTGTTCCCGCCCTTTGGACACACCTGCCCTGTGAGCCTGGCAGGGGGCCCTGCTCTCAGCTGCTGAGGGGACCTGGCCCTCACATATCACCTGGGCTACAGCTGGTTATACCAGTGAGTCCGCAGTTAGTACGTCTGCTTTGAGAGGGACCCTTAGGAAGTGGTCTCGTGACAGTGCATAAAGGAATGAGGTTACTATTCATTCATTCCTTCTCTCCTTCATTTGTTCACTTACAACTGTGCCACAAGTATTTTCTGACATTTACTGTGTGTCTGGCCTTGGGGGTTTATAATGGTTAACAGGCCACAGTCCTTGCCCTTTCAGAAGGAAAATCTAGTCGTAGAGAGAAATATTAATCAAGTTCTCACACCATCAAATGCCAAGTTGCAAATGGGACCAGGGCAGTGGGGGCTGTGGTGTTGCAAGAGTTTGTATTACAGGAGGTCTGCCCTTAGTAGGTCCAGGAGAGCTTCCCTGAAGAGGTGGCATGGGAGCGGAGCTGTGAATATGAGCAGGGTTAACAGAAGAGGGGACAGCAGTGCATTCCAGACAGTGGGAACTGCAGATACAAGGGCCCTGCGGGCAAGAGCGTAGCAGTAGAAGTGACTGAAAGGGGCCAGGGTTGGGGTGCCTGGCTGGCTCAGGTGGTTTCGGCTCAGGTCATGATCTCCCGGGTTTGTGAGTTCAAGCCCCACCTCGGGCTCTGAGCTGAGCAAGGAGCCTGCTTGAGTTTCTATCTCCCTCTCTCTCTGCTCCTCTCCCCCACTCATGCTCTCTCTCAAAAGAAAGAAATAAACATTAAAAAAAAAAGAAGAAAGGGGCCAAGGTGGCTCTGGTGGAGAGAGGGATGGCTCTGGTGGAGAGAGGGAGGGTGGGCACACTCCCACAGGAGTGGGGCATATTGAGGCCTTTAGGTTTTGACCCTGAGATGGGTGGGAAACTTCCAAAGGGCTGGATTTGGATCTGTAGTGATCACTCTGGCTTTAGGGTAGATAAGAGTCTGGTGACGGTGACCCTGGGGAGAGAGGATGAAGGCACAGGTCTGGGGCACAGGAGGGCCTCTGCCCTCTCAGGAATGTAATCTGCAGATTAAAAGCCTGCAACAAAGTGTCCTGGCAGGGTGGTATCGTCCTGACTCTGCGTTCAGAGAGAAGTTCAGGGCCAAAGCTGACACATGCAGGACCCCCGTGTGCCTGGCTTTGGAGCACTGTGCGCGGGTCCCCTCATGCAGGAACTCTCCCACGCCAGGTGCTGCGAGATCTCCACCCCTGGCCCCTGGCCGGAGCATCTGTGTTGGAAACAGATGGCAAACATTACCTGGTCATTCAGCGGGATCCCTTTTTCCATCTTCAT